TGTTGCCCATCCGTGGTTAGCCTCCACCCTTCGGGACATGCGACTCACCATAGGCGAGTTTAATGCAAACCGGCGCCCCTTTTAGTCTCCCTTAGGGGCTGAGGTGTGAGAGGCCACCTGAGAGAGGGGCCCTGGCTGGGTGCAGAACTGGGCCATCGCTTGGGCATGTCAGGGCATGCGAAGAATCCATCCGGGGGTGCGAATCCACCCACCGGCCTGGCTCAGCCCCCTGACGCCAGTCCGCCTTGTTGCAGCCGTGAATCCGAGTGCCTGGTGAGCACGCCACGGACCCCTGTGCAAACACTGCAGAAGCAGCGCCCCTCGTGCGTCCCGTGGAAGAAGCTTGCCCGACTCTGCAGAACTGCGTTGCAACACCAGGTAGCCCTTTAATCTTTGCCACTCATCCTTTAGCGCTGTCTAACTTGGGAGCAACATTCCCCAACCTGGTGCCCTCTTTTGGACTGCACTTGCGAGCATCGCTCTGCCTGCTCTGGAGAGCCCTGGGCAGGGGAGGCTGGTTAGCATGTCCGACCATGGAGGCAACATGAGGAAGCTGCATGTGCCAACAGGACCATGTGCAGCGCAGTGGAAATTCATGCTGATAAAGCCCGGTAAAATTACGCTCGTCTTCAAGGGCAAAATCATAAATATTAAATATACTTCAAGATGAGCCCAATTAGGATGTTAATTAGAATAGGAACAAATTTTACCCTTATTAAAGATTGACGGCTGGCAAGAGTGTGCTCAGCAAATTAGATTAATTATGCAAAATAATGTGCAATGTGGAGATTTCAAAGAACTAATTATAAGATGAAGGATACAGCTGATGGGCACAAGCCGCGCATTCTTCTCCCCACACAAGACATTCCTGTCCCTTTCTGGGGGGCTCCCGTCTGTGTTAAAGAAAAAGGCTTTGCCCAACAGCTTGATTGTGCTCAACATTTGACTCCCCTGATCGTTAAGCTGCCTCCGTGGCAGGCTTACGGGCAGACTTGGCAAACGTTCTTTACAGAGGAGACTGGAAGCGCCACAGCAGCCGTTCACCCATCCTCTCGGTCCTGTGCCGGCATTCAGCATTTGCAAATCTAAGGAGACCTAATTATGCTTTGCAAAAAAAATTCTACTCTCAGATGCAAGGATCTGTAGTTTTGCATAACATTATTATTTGGCATACTCTGAAACAATGTAGGGTTTACCGTATGCTTCCAAGGCCCCCCTGCCCTTTTATTTAATAAAAACATCCCAGGAATCAAACCACTATTGGTGGCCATTTGGTCCGGCTTAGGGAATAGGGCCTGTTGAGAAAGAGGTTGCACCAGGTGGCAACAGGGCGTGAAAAGGAAATGCAAAACTGAAAGCATGAAATGAAACAAAAATAAGAGCAGGAAAGTAAACTAGAGAAGGGACGCTAATCTCAGTCAGTGAAATGAAGGGTGATTGTCCAATGTTTCCAACGAAGGTGCTGTCATGGGGTCAAAGAAACACTGGCAGGAAAAGGTGAGAGCTGTAATGCACAGGCAGGGGCTGGGATGGGTCTCCTGCCTACAATTCCCATCTCTAGAAAGTTCTGTACAGGCACAAAACCAAAATATGTGTGGCTCAGAGAGGAGCCATGAGGAGCCATTGCAGCCATGGTTCCAGGTGTCCTAGCAGCCTTCCCCAACCAGATGCCTTCCAGATGTTCTGGTCTACAGCTCCCATCAGTGCTGACCATGGGCCTTGTTGGCTCAGCCTCATGGGGCTTCTATTTTACAGCAGTTGAGGGCACCTGGCCAGGAAGCCCCCAGCATTTCAGGGTAGATGGAAGAGGGTGCTTATCCCGCAGTGCACATGAATGCAACTGCAGACGCATGGAACAGCTGAGCATGGCCTGTCCTTTTACTGTACATGCTGAAGCTGGGAAGATTCATCTTAAATGGAGGAAGCGCAGTGCCTCAAGTTGGGCAGTTCAGTTTTTCCGTAATATCTGCAGCCTAAAGGAATCTCTTTGTATTTACTCCAGCAGAGGAACTCTGATCATTGTGATGCCACTGAATTTTGGAATTAGTCAACTCTCTGGGTGAAACACATCCCATTCATAATGCTCATAATGCTTGGATCGATGCATTGTGAATTTGGAAACGAATGCTAGATTTCAAGCATGTGTCATAAAGTGGTCCACAGATTCCTCTCCCCAAATTTTCAGCTGTTCTATCACTGTGGTCAAAAACACCCTTGAATCATTCTCCATAGCTGCCTCTCACTCTGAGGAGAGGGGCTCATCTTTATTCTGGCAACTGGCAATGGCGGGAGAATGTCACATCCCATCATCACGCAAGTGGGGCATGTGAACAGCAGCAATAAAGAGGAGGCCTAGCCTGAGGGCGCTTGCCATGCTGCATTCTGCAATGCCAAACTACAGCTCCCAAGATGCACCTTGATATTGCACATGCCCAAAACCTTGTATTCAAGGAACAAGGGTTTGCAATGGAAAAGTTTTGCCTGCGCTTGCATGGCCCAGTTTGCTCCTTTCCAAGTACATAATGAACTTAGCCTTTGCTAAGTAAGTCTGTAAATATATTTTTCAAGGCACAAGCGTCTGTGGACTGCAGTCCACTTCATCCAATCCATGAAGCATTAGCAGGAAGCAGAGAAACTAATTGTAAACAGCAGAGTCATATGACAATGGAATGCAAAAAGCAGAGATTTTGAGAATTCAGTTAAAACTGTGTGCAAGGGCCACTCTCAAGAGCATTCACAGGTGATAACGTAAGTGTTCCAACAAAGGAGTGGTGAGAAATGCTTCTCGGCAGGCATCCTCTCACAAGACCGTTCCTACAAACTTTTCCCATCCGAGAACCACATTTGGTGCAAGGATGCTTTAATTAAAATAGCGTAACGACCTCCCTGCACCGGTCTCAGGGTCAAGTAGCAGTACAAGGCCTGGACAAGGGTAACCTTTGCCTGTACTCACTGCAGCTCTCACAGAAGTTGTGCTCCATGTGCGTTAATCTGAACTAAAAGAATCTGGGGCAGTGTTGCTGGACCGACACACGGATTGGCTTAGTAAACACCTCTGGCTGGAAACGAAATATTTTCTGAAACATCCTTTCCTAGATCCCTGCACCAGTGTATGAACTTTTGGCCTGGGGCACTGCAGTGCCCCCGCCGTACCTGGACAGGTGTGCTGAGCTTTCAGGAGCCTTCCACAGCCAGCTCTGGGCCAACGTCTTCACCTGAGCAGCTCCTCAATTTCTACAAGCTAATTTGTGACTACTGTAGTCCATGCCTCTAAGCTGCCGCCCCAACAGGAAGCAAACAGATTCCTAGGAGAACGTAGCGTTGCTCAGAACACAACTCTGCTTGCTCTGCAGGGTGAAGGCATTCTTTGCAGCGATGGGTATGCAGAACAGCCTGTGTCGACCTGGCGCCCTCCAGATGTGCTGGACTAGTAGGGATGCAGGGAACACATCTGGAGCACATCACATGTGAGTGGGAAGGCTGGTGTGGGCGAAGCTATTTGTATGGGGCTTTGCTGACGCAGAGGTGCCATATATTGGCTTGAGGAGGAGGGCAGGATCCAGCGCAGGGCTGTGGCATGACAAGCCGTCGGATACTGTCCCAGGTGCACGGGCTCGGTGGGCAGCGTTGCTGCAGCACGCTCGCCTCTCGGACTGCTCTGGAGATTGGCTGCCCCTGAACATGCATTTTAAATTGCCCTGCTAGCCACTGCTATGGCCGTTAATGCTAGCCCAGCGGGCAGGGCCACATGACACAACACCCCACGGTGGCATTTCGTAGGATTGTCATGGTGTTTAAGTGTGGTTTGTCTTGCCATTAGAAAGCACAAGAAATTCTGTTCTGGGGTTTCGCTGTACCACAATGGCTGGCTGTGTCGTCTGAAGCTGGACAGTGCAGCCCATCACGCCAGGAGGCCAAGCACAGGAAAACATCTGGTCAGTCTGTCGTCGACTGCAGCTGCCAGAAGCATCCCTGCTCCAACCACCGCAAACTATCACCCACCCTCGCAGCCCCTGTTCCGCTCAGCTGGTTGCTTGCTCCCACCTGGGAGGGCCTGTGCAGGCAAGAACGAGGGAGGATCTGGGCCACACGAGGACACTCCCTTCTCGGTGGGTCCGCCTGACCCAGGTTCTCCCTTCTTCCTGGCCCAGGTTCTTGCCTGCCCGCGTGCCTTTCGTGGGAGCGGGAGCGAGCCAGGGGGCCCACACCGTCTCTGCACTGCCCTCCTGCTTGGGAGAGAGGTGCTCTGGGAGGCTCCGGGATGAGGAGGCCTTTCTCTCCCGCAGGGGCAAGGAAGAGGCTCCCAATCCCCCTTCTCCTCTCCCGCTGCAAAGAAAGGCACCTGGCACTGGAGAGGCAGAGCTGCCCCACCCGAGAGGGGCCAGGCACGCCACTCCTGCTCCGACCGCTTCTGCGCCCTCGCCGCTGCCTGATGGGGCCTGCGCTCCGCTGGCTCCACAGAGGCTGGACTTGGCTGCAGTCGTGGCTCGAAGATGCTGCCTGGAGGACCGAGAGGGAAGCAGGTGGGGGCGGGAGAAGAGTAGCTGCAACAGGCCTGCTCACTGGCTGGGCAGATTGAGGGTTAAGAAAAATGAACCATGGTCACCATGCAAGGTTAGGAACATAGAAACAGAGCGAGTCAGAAAGGGTCTCCTGGGCCATCTAGTCTGACCCCTGGCTCCTGTGGCGGGCATGTGCACGGTGGGCGTGGGCTGGTGAGGCGGCACCTGCGGGGGTGTGGCGAGGTGGCGGCGCCCGTAGGCTCAGCAAGCATGGTGCGGCGAGGGGAGTCCAAAACCTCTGAGGCGGGCCAGATCCAGCCCGTGGGCCGTAGTTTGAGGACCATGGTCTTAAGGAAGCACTTGCATGCAGCCACTGTGAAAGCGTGCCCAGTGGCACAGAGCTGCAAGGGGAGGGGGATGTAGGTGGGAAAACTGGTTTCTTCCAGTCTTTCATGCGGAGGAAGAAGTGAAAATAGATATAAAGAAACAAGGCCAGAGTCATTTTAAAGTAGTTTTTAATTTATGCAGGAATGTTTCCCAAGTTCTAACTCCCTTGCTATTTAATATATACATGAAACCTCTGGGAGATGTTGTGCACCGTTTGGGGTTTTGGTGCCTCCAGTTAGCTAATGAAGTCCGTTTCTCCTTTCCATCCAGATTCAAGGAATGCCAGTGTTGGTGCAGGACGCTATTGGTGGCTCATGGTGTTGATGCACTCGATGAGGGCAAGCAAATTATTTCTCCATTGAGCCCTGAGCTTTTCAGATAGAGATGCCAAGAACTTCCGTGTGCCAAGCACATGGTATGGTCTACCACCAACAAGAGCTGGTAGACAGGAGTAAAATTGGCTGGGAGGAAGTCAGGCCAGAGCTTCTCCCAAATACGTCAGAAAGGGGCATGGTCACTTCAAAGAACATTCTAAGAACAAGGTGGATGGGACAGAAGAGTCACAGGAAAGCCGCCACAGCCTGAAGACGTGAGAAGGGGCCAGCAACAAGGGGAGAAACTGAGGGCACAGAGCAGCATCTGCTACGCAGAAGCCAAACTCTGACTCGGGAAATCCCAAACTATGGGCCAGGGAATGTCTCCCATCTGCTCCTTTTTGGCCTCCTACCCTTCAAAAGGCACGACCAGATTGTTCATTTATGGAGACAGGGCAGAGTTCACCTGAGGGTCAGTGTCTTGCTCCTTCCTAATGTAGGAGGAAGCATTTCTACTGACGGGCCTGCAAGGGGTGAGAACTCGGTAGTTCTCTTTTGGAGGGAATGTACGAAAAATCTCCATACTGGCCACGCAAAAAGAACTGTTAGGGAAAGCTCTTGGGACTGGAATTACCTGCCAGGCTGTTACTACCTCGGGGTAATCTCATTCTGCATTCCCAGACTTGGCGGCTTTGATGGCATCCAGGGCTGTCTTCCATCCAATGAGAATAAAATCAAGGTCATCCAAGCCCATTCCCAGAGGTGGGGGCTGTGATGTGATGTGTGTGTGATTTGGGCAGTCCCCTTAAATGGTGGCAACAGAACAATATCCTTCCAAAAGATTCAGGTTCTTAATTTCCATTCTTTTCTTTGTGAATATTTCCTAAAGTGGGTCTCTGAAGTATATAAACCCAGGAAGATTGCAAATCTTTCTCCCCTCTCCAGTATCTACTCTTGTTTTCCTGGCAGCTTTGGAACAATGTTGGTCTGGAACCACATGAAGCTTAAGATGAGGCCAGTTGTTTTAGGGAAAGTCTCATCAAATGCAAAACTGATGGAGTCATGCAGAGGTATATTCACCACCTCGATCAGTTCGCCTTCTTCTGGTCGGCCACCTCCTTCACTGACTTTCATCTCATCAGTTACCTCAGCATAGAATAATGTCTGCTTTGATCCTGTCACACCAACTCCAGATCTTTAGGGATGAAAAAGAAAGAAAAAATGAGTATGAAAACTTTATATGAACATCTCTCAAGACAAGGAACGTTCCTCAATTGAGTATAATCAAACCGCTTTTCAGAAGTAAGATGGGTTGCTGACAAAAGTAGAAGCCCCATGTTGAATTCCTGTGCTTCCCTACTGTAATGTGTACTACAACATTCCTGCGTATTCCAGTAATTGAGCTTAATGTTTTCTTGCTTCTCTGGTCTCTCTAAAATGGGCAGGGTGGGAGGAACTAGACCAGTCTTTCCCAGGTTGGTGCCCTCCAGATGTTTTGGACTTCAACCCCCATCAGCACCAGCCAGCATGGGTAATGGTCAGGAATGCTGGGAGCTGAAGGCCAAAACATCCTGAGGACAGCGAGTTGGAGAAGCCAGAGCTAGGCTGCCATTTTTAGCAGCAGTCCCATGCTGCCTTGTGGTTCAGAGAAGGAGCACTAGACTGATCATGGGACCAAAGAATGTTCCCTGGGAAGAAAGGCTACCTTGATTAGGAAAAAAGGCAGTTAAAGGAGGAGATGCTAGAGGTGTCTAAAGTCATGCATGCTATGCACCTAGGGTAGAGTGAAAATGGGTTTTACTCGCATTTGCACAAGGCTGGAACACAGAATCATTCAGCAGCATTAATTTCCAAGACAAAAGGAAAGACCTTTTCACACCATACCAAGATAAAGCCATGATACCGACTTCCATAAGATGGCAGAGCTTTTGGAGGGTGTTCATTCACAGGCTGCAGTACATTGGGAATGACGAATCATTATGGTGCTGAACAACATGCAGTGCTGGGAGCAGAAAACTGGGCTAGCTGGGCCACTGCCCTGATCTAGGGGGGCTTTCCTTGGGTTGATGCTCTTATGCTGTGCAGCCCTGCAGCAAATTCGCCCGTCACTGATCTGTCGTTGCTCTGAGTCAGTATTATGAAAATGATATACAGGCAGGAGGCCTCTCCAAAAGCTGCATTACAGTGAAGTCCTTGCATAATTCAGCACTCATGTTTAAAAGTAGCTTTATAGAAACATAGAACCAGAGTGAGTCAGAAGGGGCCTCCTCGGCCATCTAGTCTGACCCCCGGCTCCAGCCAGCTCTGCTCATGACATGCCCACCATGTGCATGTCCAGCCTATCCTTGAACACCCACACCATTGGTGCTCAACAACCCCCCATGGAAGCCCATTCCACACCCTCGGGGTCTGAACTGTCAGGAAGTGCTTCCTGGCATCTAAATGGAACCTTGGCTCCCTGAGCTTTGCTCTGTTGGAGCATGTCCTGCCTTCTTCTGCTGGGGAGAACAGGTCTCTACCCACCTCTGTGTGACATCCCCTCACATACCTGTATGTTGCCAACAGATCCCCTCTGAGTCTCCTCTTCTCCAAGCTGAAGAGACCCAGTTCCCTCAATCTCACCTCATACGGCATCCCCTGCAATCTGACCACCAACCTTGTGGCCCTACACTGCACTGACTCTAACCTGGCTATATCCTTTCTGTAATGATGGTGCAAAACAGAGCTGCCAGGATGCTGACGGGGCCTGGGCGTTATTCTCATATAACCCCAGTCCTCTACCAGCTGCATTGGCTTCCCATCTAAGTATGGGCTCAATTCAAGGTGCTGGGTATTACCTATAAAGCCCTAAATGGCTTGGGACCAGGATACCTAAAGGAACGCCTTCTTCCCTATTTGCCCTCCTGCCCTCTGAGATCAGCAGCAGAAGCCCTCCTCTGGGAACCCTCTGTGAAAGATATTAGGAGACAGAGTACCCGGAGGAATGTATTCTTTTTCTTTTAAAGTGGTTTAGGTGAACGTTCAATTGGGTACACTGAGAAAGTATTGCACTATGCTCATAAACAAAGCTCCAAATCAGGGTGCATTCCAAATCCATGCACACACACAATGAATGGGCTGATGAGCAATTCAGGTAATTTTGCAATGTAATTTCTTCGGACCTTTGCACCGTCCTGAGGTTATAAGTGGCAGGTGCAGGAAAAACACACAGACAGACAGACAGAACAGAAGCAATTAACACAAAATTGTATTGTATTATACTATCTGCAGACAGGTGTACAGGCAGGTGATCGCCCTAATTATAAAGCAGTTCATTGTACTACAGCCATTTACAACAGTGCAATGAGGTTAAAATGGTAGTTAGCAGTGATGTCAGCACAGAGGGGACTTCCTTAACTTGGTGAGCTCCAGTGTCTTGGACTGCAACAGCCAGCATTCCCAGCCAGCGTGGCTGCGGCTGAGTGCACATCAGGTAAGACCAGACTGGGTGCACGGTATGTTACTGCTGGAAAACATCAATGCAACCCTGCTTGTTCAATGAAAAGCAAAAGAGAGGCCTGGCATAGGACCTAATGCTCTTCTGCAACGTGTTCACAATTTGGGCAGTGGGGTCTGTGTCCTCACATGCTCCTTGGAGGCACAACTCTAGCTGGAGACAAGAAACACTCATCTGGGCACCAGGCGTGTCCCCTGCATCATCATGGCTGAACGAGGGATCTACAGTTGCTCTTCCTTCAGCCTCTGGCCACATCTGGCCACCAGCACGGCCATCAAAACAACATGCCAGATCGAGAACACATGCATTACCCCACAGGCGTAAATGCAGATCTCCCAGCATCCTCTGCTCCGTATTTCCGTCTGGGTGTTGGTGACCACCACTTGGGGATTATTGCTGGATTCGATTGACGCGCTAGCCAGGCGTTCAATAGTCCAAGTGCGGAGGGGCTGTGAGGATGCACACTCTGGTCCTGTTCACTCCAGGCCTGACATGAACTGGAAGGTCTGAAGAGCTTTGCTGAGCTGTGCTAGAGTCTTCTGTGCAGCTGGGAAACCTGACTGCACAGAGTTCCCAACTTCACAGAGGACTTAACTGCTTTCAGCCAGATGCTGGTGCTACCTTCTGTCAAACTTCCCATGCACATGGCCACCTCTCCTCCACACAGGGCCCTCTGAGCACCTGAATTTAGCAAAAGAAGCCATGTAATACCAAGCTTGGAAGTTCTCACGGATCCAGCACTGTTCCTGGAAGGCCTGGGGATGGTGGCAACCACAGGGCCCGTGGTCGGCTGCAGCCTCCCTTGGGGCAGGAAGCCTTGGCCCCAGCGGTTCATGCCTTGATCGCCTTTTGTTGCAACACGCTGCACGTGAGGCCGTCCTTGAAAAGTATTCAGAAGCTAGTTGGACCATAAGGAAGGAGGGTGCCGAAGAACTGAGGCCTTTGAATTGTGGTGCTGGAGGAGACTCCTGCAAGTCCCTTGGACTGCAAGGCGATCAAACCGGTCAGTCCTAGAGGAGATCAACCCTGGCTGCTCTTTAGAAGGCCAGATACTGAAGATGAAGCTCAAATACTTTGGCCACCTAATGAGAAGGAAGGACTCCCTGGAGAAGCCCCTAATGCTGGGAACGATTGAGGGCAAAAGAAGAAGGGGGCAGCAGAGGATGAGGTGGCTGGATGGAGTCACTGAAGCAGTTGGGGTGAGCTTAGGTGGACTCTGGGGGATGGTGGAGGACAGGAAGGCCTGGAGGAATGTTGTCCATGGGGTTGCGATGAGTTGGACGCAACTTCATGACTAACAGCAGCAGGTTACAAACACAGTGCTGGACTTTTGTTGGGAGTGCGCCGCTTGGCAGACTAGAAGATACTGGTCCTGCAACCAACTCGTTTCTGGGAACTCCTGAAGATGTTGGTCCCAACTGCTTTGGATCCAGGATGTCTGAAGGACCCCCTTCTGCCACACAAACCTGTCCATTATTCAGCATTGTCCTTGGAGGCCCTGTTCCATGATCCACTACCTAAAGCAGCCAGGTTTGCGAGTACTTGAGCCAGAGCCTGTTTGGTAGCTGCTTGCTGAACTTCTCCTCGAGGGAGCTGAGATGGGCTTCTTCCTCACACCGGTTCAGATGGGTGGTGAGGAGTGTCCCCTTGGGCTTTTTATACTGTATCATGCTTTTAAAATTGGAAGTGGCTCTCAAATTTTACTATGCGGGGGATCGGGATGCGGTGGATATCTTTTTTTCTTGGTTGCAGAGGAATATTTAACCATCCTTTATTGCATAAGATTCTCAGTTCCTGGTAGGCAATTTATAATATCAAATAAATTCAGGAAAATGTGGGGCACAGCGCTCCAGGAAACTCTCTGACCTTTTATGCATCCCTCATTCCCATCACCGGAAGAGCGCAGGTCCACACACAGAAAGTGGTCTCCTGGCACTGATGTAGCCACAGCACATTTGTGGAATGGTAGATGAGATCCCCAGGGACAACGTCTAATCTGATCCGAGGCATGTCTCCTCAGAAGTAACTCCCACTGCATCCAGGGAGGATTCTTCCCAAGAACGTGCAGCCACTGCTGCCTTCCGTTTGCTCTGAGCAAAGCACCTTTTCGCCTAGCGTGCTGGTCCTCGGGTCTGACTCAAAGGAGCAGTGAGATGCCTCCCCTGTTCCACTCCCTTCCCCCAGCAAAGGCTTGTTAATCCAGCAGGAAATGCCATTTGCCAGGATTGACAACTGTGAATTTGCATTTAATTCCCAGTTTCTTTTTTTCTTCTTTTTTAAAGGCATGTCCACCTCAACAGAGTTGTCAAGAGAAAACGCAAGGAAAGTTTTCTTTTCTTCTAAAGTTGCCGCTTCTCCATAGATTTCGACATGCATCTCCAAGTATGACAACAGATGCTTTTTTCACAAGGCTACAATCTGGGGAGGCAGAAGGCTTAGAGCACATTTTCATTTTAGATTATTTAATTCTTGACATTTCCTTAATTCCAAATACTAGGCACATACAACACACAGTTGGCTTCTCCTCTCCATTCTGCTTGAAATTTCCACTTAAAAACAAATATTAAATCCCTTGTAAAAGAGCCTTCTTATGACAACAGCAACAGTGGGATAACAAAATGTATCCCCAAATGCATCTATTTTTTGTTTGTTTATTTCCGCTTTTTTCAAAGCCCTGAGATAACACCCCAAGGTCTAGAAAAGTGTTCTGAAAATTAATTCTAATATTTTTCTATTACAATATTAATATTCTAATGATTCTTAGACGGGCTGAGGGCATGCTGTACAAAACCGGATAATAAAAAAGTAACTCTCCCTAAGGGAAGGTATCCGACAGGTGTGCTACAAATAACCCAGAAAATACAGTACATGAAACCCTCATTTCTGAAAAAGAAACAAGCCAGTCCCAAGCCAGGTGCTCCCCTGACCTCCCTGAATCTGGCAACAAGCATTTCCACTTGTTTCAGGTTACTGTATTTTTCCGACTAGAAGACACCCCCATGTATAGGACGCCCCCCACTTTTACCGATCTCCAAGCGAGTGAGCAAGCTGCTGCTGCGCGTGTGCGCCCGCCACCTCCCTGCACACGCGGGCCCACACCAGTTTCCCCCTCTGGACGTGCACATGGTGGGCATGTCGTGAGCGGAGCCGGCTGGTGCCGGAGGCCAGACTAGATGGCCCGGGAGGCCCCTTCTGACTCGCGCTGTTTCTATGTTCCTCGCCTCCCCCCCGAGCGCGCCTGCAGTTTCCCTCTTGCCCCCCCATGTATAAGACGCCCCTCCATTTTTAGGTAAATATTTTAAAGAAAAAGTATTGTCTTATACATGGAAAAAGACGGTACTTTTAGAAGCTCAAAAGCTCCCCTGCATACGAGGTCCATCTCGCAAAACAGGTAAACACAATGTGACACCACTGCAGAGAATGTGGCACTGGGGCTGCAGGAATGTGTCTTTGGCATTGTCAAGGGTTCTTAATTTTAAAAAATAGCAGAAAAAAGGGCTGCAGGTAGTCAATGAACAAGTGAAGCCCTGCGGGATCAAAGCAAGGGCCGGCCTAGTCCCGCCGTCTGTTCATGCAGTGGCCGCCGGAAACTCACGGACAGGACAGGGATGCAACAGCACCCTCCTACCCATGTTCCCCAGCAACTGGTGCACAAAGGTGTAGTGAGTTTTCCCCACAAAGCAGTTCCTGCTTAAGTGGGACGTCATGCCATCCCATCTTCCCTGCCCTCTGCTAGCTAAGAAAGAGTGACATCACGGCACTGCTGTTGCATTAACCACCACTGTTGCGTCACAGCACAGCTACCGGGTAGTGACATCACAGTGCAGTTAAGTGCAGGGAGCAGTGGGGGGGGGGGGGGGGGGGGGGAGGGGAAACGCGACACAGAGCTGCCATTTTTGGTGGCCGCTTCATGCCAAACGGAACAACTTAGCTTTGCCCGGAGGGGCTTTGCACAGAGTCAAAACAGAAAAAGAAAAGCGTTTCAGCGATGAATGGTAAAGGGGGCATTGTTTGCCTTCTCTTTGTGGGATGAGGCATTGTAGCTCCTGTCTTAAAAAAGGAAGAAAGACGTCAGCCTGGAAATGGAGGCTTGCCAGTTACTTAACAGCAACAGGTGAAGGTAGGTGAAGACCCTCCTTTTCAGGCTCCCGTTGAAGCCAGGATCAAGCCTTCAGAGCTCTCCGTATCCTCCTCTTTGGTTTGCTTTATGTTCTATGGGGGATGTCGAGTGACCAGAGAAGGCCTGGGCAGAGCCGAAGTTCAGATTCAGTTCTGCAGCATGTCCAATAAGGAAGACAATCCCCCAAGAAAATTGCTCGGCAGGGGAAGACCTGATGACCTATTTATACCCTGCCTTTCTAACAGAAAATGGCACTTGCAGTACACCTGAAACGGACTAAAACAATCAAGCACAGGAGGACGGCAGAGAGGGAACTGCTCTGGCTTCCCCGGGAGGCATTGCAAAGCCTGGGACTAGACACCGAAAAGTCCTTCTTTCAGCGTTGCCACCTCTGGCCGGGACCGTCCCAGAAGGTCCTCTCCAGAAGACCTCAAAGACCAGGGAGAAGGTGGTCTGCCAGCCCGTTCCCAAGTCTTTTAGGGCTTGATGGGTCATTACCAGTCGTTCAAGTTATCCCTGGAAAAGGCAGGTTGCTTACCTGTAACTGTCATTCTTCGAGGGGCCACCTGTGCATTCACACCTTAGGGGTGCTGGGCTGCGCAGTGCCTGTAGCCAGGAAAGATCCAAAGCTCGCAGCACCCATAATGTGTGATGCACGGAGGCCACGGCGAAGAACAGACTGGCAGCCAGGAGCAGCTGCAACAAGGGGGTCACATGCTCCCTGCAACCAGCCGCAGGCAACCATCTGGCTGCAGCACCCCAGCCTGGCTGAAGGTTCTGAGAGTGGTGAAGCGGTGGGCTGGCACACAGGCGACTGGGGTCCCAGCCCCGCTCAGCCAAGCAGCTCACTGGGCGGCTTTGGGCCAGTCACAGACTCTCAGCCCAGCCTACCTCACAGGGTGGTTGTGGTGAGGAGAAGAACGAAAGGAGAAGAGACATGCTTCCCAGAGAGGTATGCCTGGTGCCATCTATGTTATCCTTTCAGCGCCAGGTGAAAATCTTTTTATTCTGCAGTCATTTTAATCACTGAGTCATGCAGGATTGTTTTAATTCTTAGATTTTATTATCTGTTGCTGCACCAAGAGGCTAAGTTATTGCTCAAACATTGACATTTACCATACTTGGCTCTTCTGTTGCGCAAGTCTGGCCACTACCTATTATATGGATTACGCTTATTTGTTTCACCTGTTTACTATGTCTTGAGGTCTGTCGTATTAGACAGTCTCAAGACAAATGGCATTCCCTTCTTCCTGCCCTCACCTCGCAAGCTCTTCTTGTACCTGTCCCTCCCCACAGTTGATGGATGCCTTTTTGTGGTCCAGAGTCCATTAACCACAGGTCACTGGTTACGCGTCGCAGTGGCCCACCGGGGGTTCAGTAATCATCTCCCATTTCTTGCCTGCCCTGGACTTCAGTTGAAAGGGATGTCCAAATATCTGGCAGGCTACCAGATCTGTTTGGGTGATGTTCTGCTTGGTGAGCTTCATGAAGGGTTGGCCTGCAAAGTGGTCCTTGAAAGATCAACACACTCAGATTTACTTACCTGTATGAAGTAATTCTCCTCAGCCTGTCCACAGGCACCTCATAGCCACACTCTTCTGCTATCTCTGTGCAAGCAATTTCTTCCAAAGACAGCTCTGGCTTGTCTACAATACCGGCACAGAGTTCGTACGTTACTCCTACAGAGGCCGGCAAGCCATCCGGTAGAGGACACCAGCCTTCCCGCGTTTTGCCTTCGAAGTCCTGAGGATGGTTCCGCTCCATTTCGCACATGTAGACGGCTGATAAAGAACAAAGAGGAAACTCAGTCACTTGCCACCTCTTGAGGAGAGGTGTTAAAACTCTTCCAGACCCAGGGTTGAATCCAGCTTTGGAGAAGCCCTGCAGAATACTGCTCAGTAATGGGCAAGGCTGAAGGCAAAAGAAGGCAGGCTTAGAACACCAAAAATATTGAAGCTTAAAGCTCTTGTGGCCAGCAATTCAGCTGTACCAGCAGCATTTCAGACTTTTAGGACAGGGCAAAAACATGCTGGGGAAGAATCCAGTGATTGCCCATCAAGAAAAAGGGGCCGGGGAAGGATGCGTGAGTGTCTGAAGAACCTCCGAGGGTGTGATTTGGCCCAAGAGCGCCAAGTCCTGCAGCCCTATTTCAAGGCATGGGTTTCACACGAGGACATGAAAACTACCACAGCAGCAAGAAGCTCTGCTGAGCACGGAGCCGACGTGCTCAGTCACAGGCCCTTTGTGCTTTGCATTTAAAAAAAAAAAGCATGGTGCACAGAGCACACTTTCCAACATGGGTGCGAATGACGAAGTCACTCCTGACACAGGGCTCAGGTGTCCATGAGAACGTTCACCAGATCCTGGACCACCTTCCCCCACCGCCTGCACACTGCTGCTGGTTCTTTGCCAGGTGAACTGGCACAAACATAGATCCTGCGGGGTCTCAACTTCATGGCTGGAGGTATTTCTAGATGGAGGAGCTCTTCATCCAGCCACCAAAAGGCACTGAGTGGGTTTAGATGACATGATAACCCAACTCAACCACTGAGGATGGGTTGAGTGGCTGTTGCTGGACCACAGGTTATCACACTGCCTGAAAGCAGCTACACTAGCAAGCAATGGCTTCCTAATTGTGAAGAGAACCCACGATTTGTTCCTGGGTTATTAACTGTGGGTTGTTTACCATAGTTGTTATTTCAGCAGGGTTCAGAAAACACAGTATCCCCATTTCAAAAATAACCCATGGTTCACCAAGAATGCACATTGAAGGCACATTTAACTCTTGAGCATGCATTAGCATGCTTTCCTAACTCAGTCATTGTGTTGGTGTTCTTTGGTTCTTTTTAAAATCAGATTTTCTGTATTAAAGAAGATGAAGGAAGAAATGGTGGGAAAAGACAGAAGGGTTATGAGTCGGAGAGGGTGATGTCAGATTCCCCCTGCCCCCATCGATGTCAGTGACTGAGACAAGGAGAGGGTCTCATCCAGAAGCACACCCAAAACTGCTGCTCTTAAAATAAACCACAAGGAAGCAGACCTGTCAATTAGATTGTTAACTCTGGATAATGGCTGAGGGTTGACGTTTCTTCAAGCAAATGGAAATATAGAAAGCAGAAAATTGGGATTCGGTGAAGATAACCAAATAATCTAGGCATGATCCTGTGAAAATTTAGACAGAAAAACGGTCTACAACTCTCAGCATGCCCCAGCTAGCATGCCGGGCGTTGTGGGCCTTTTTTCTATCTAAATTTGTAGGGCTGCAGACCATTTATCCATCCCTTTCATTGAAATCTATTGAGCAGAGCCACTTTCAGAATGCCCAAACATCTATTCAGGTAGCAAAAAGTTTTAAGGAGTCTACACAAATAACCTGACCTCTTTAACATGGCTTGCATATTACATGTCTCACAACTGAGTACACAACTAGCAAACCATAATAGCTGCACTTAGAAGGCACTGGAGCCCTTGATGTGTGGAAGAGAGGGGCTCATTTGCTGCTGTTTAGCACAACTGAAGGCATCTCAAAGGGTTTCTAGCATTTCATTCCTGCATATTTTTCCCCAGCATTCTTCCTATTTGGGGAGCAACTTCTGTTTCAAGGCAACTTCCATTTGTCCGCCAACATGAAGATTTCACAGGGTCCATGGACACTTGGTGGGACACTGGAGGGTACATAATGTACCATGTGCACAACGATGAGTGTTTCAGCCTGTCAACTCAGCTGCTGCTTCGGCAGAGTTATGAAAAGTATGCATGCATGTTCGAAAAGGCCCCTTTTGAACATAGACTGCCCACTTGCCCAGATTGCAGAGTGGAATTTGCAAAAGACCTTTTGTGTTAATCTATAAACAGCTGCTGTGATAATAGTCTGCTAAAGAAAATGCTAAGAGCCATGTAATGACATCAAAGGAAACACAAAGGGTCCCTCAATGTGTGGATAGTACGGATCCAGTCTAGGTTCATAGAATCACAGAATAGGAGAGTTGGAAGGGCCATGAAGGCCATCTAGTCCAACCCCCTGCTGCTGCAGGACACCAAGTCACACCCTCCCACTCAGGTGGCTGTCCAGGTTCTTTCTGAACGTCTCCAGTGTGGGAGAGCCACCACCTCCCTGGGCAGCTGATTCCACTGTCATATCGCTCTGACAGTGAGGAAGCGTTTCCCAATATCCAGCCTGAATCTGGGTCATCGAACAGGTCACCAAAAGAGGGACCACTACTACCAGCAGCCATCCTGACTGGGACCTTTATTAATGCAGCCCCACCACAAGCCTTTAACAACAGCTCGACATGCATAAACTAAGCCGGGAATTTTCCACCTGGCGGGTAAGCAGTAGGCAAAACTGAGAGCCAGTGTGGAGAAGTGGTTAAGAGCATGGGACTGGGACTCAGGTGTCCTGGGTTCTAGTCCCCACTTGGCCATGGAGCCAACTGGGCAACTTTGGGCCAGTCAGAAACTCTTACCCCAACCCACCCTACAGGGGATACGGTTGAGAACAGGAGGAGAATGACATAAGCCAATCTGAGCTCATAAGATAAAAGTGGGATAAAATAGAGATAGATAGATAGATAGATAGATAGATAGATAGATAGATAGATAGATAGATAGATCGATAGATAGATAGATAGATAGATAGGAAAACCATGACCTGCTAAGCTTTTGAGTGGCTCCACTCCTCAGACTGCACTGGAGTGGGCCCAATGAAAAAGGAGGCATTGCCATTTTGTGGTGTCCCTTTGGAAATATTGGTATGAAATCAAGGAGGTATAACACTTCAAAGCAAGCCAAGCAAGCAAGCAAGCAAGCAAGCAAGCAAGCAAGCAAGCAAGCAAGCAAGCTAGTTAGCTACTTATTTTTCAACAATGAATCCTGCCAGACTAATCTGATCTCAGTTTTTGATCAGGTAACCTGTAACCTGATCAGGTAACATGTACAATACTAGTTTCCCTCTACACAGCACTCTTTAAGGCCTCATCTGGAGTGCTACATCCAGTTCTGGACACCACAGTGTATGAAAGATGCGGACAAAATGGAAAAGGTTCAGAGGGGCAACGAAGATGACTGGAAACAAAGCCCTTGTGAAGAGAGCTGGAAAAATTGGACATGTTTAACCTTGAGAGGAGAAGGCTGAGGGGAGACATGGCGATGCCCTTCAAGGTTCCAACTGAACAGCTAGAAAAACTCCCTGACTCTTAGAGCAGCATGGCAATGAAACCAATGTCCAAGGGAGGTCATGGGGAGGCATTCAAAATGCAGCTGGACAGCCATCTTTAATATGGGCTCCTGTACTAAGCAGGGGCTCAGACCTGATGGCCTCTTCCAAGATTCTAGGATTCCATTTTGTAGGCCCTAACTTTGCAGCAAAATGGGTAAAGTAATTGACTCGCAGAGGAGAAACTTTCATGGTATGTCTTCCTAAAATGAGCAGACAAATCCTCATGTGGCCTCTTCTCTTCTCTTCTCTTCTCCTCTCCTCTCCTCTCCTCTCCTCTTCTCGTGTCCTATTGTCTTCTCCTGTTCTTCAGCAAGGATAAAGCCATTCTTTAGATTCTTTTGTCAACAGAAAGGTGAGTGGGTACTGGAAAGAGAGTGTCTTTTCTGCAGTACCATCTTCATGGTCACACCAGCCCCGGATATGCTTTTAATTAAAAACTATGTTTTCTGTATATTTTTACAGCTGCTAGTTTTACACTAAAGTCTTGTTTTTGTTCATTTTATTACTGCATTGTTTCTCTTAAGGGAGTTTCTGTTGTTTCTCTTAAGGGAGTTTCTGTTAAGTAAGTAATGGTCAGAAATGCAGTGCATAAGCCTAGTAGATTCTCCAAATACATGGAAAAGGGCGGGGGGGAGGGTCATGTTATTTGGGTTGAACACTCAAGAGGTACCCAACTAACTCTTGTTGCTGTCTGATGGCCCTTGGAAGGCTGCTGAAGACTTGGACTGGTGTTGGGGATAAAGAAGGGTAAACAAGCTAAGACTTAATCTAGACTTAATCTTAAATCGAGACTTAATCTAAGCACGATGAAGATACCAGGGGTATAGAAATCTCCTTATCTGGATGAAGGAAAACATCCAGTCTTAGAACTGCCTTTCCTCTGAAGGGCCACATGCCCATTTGTGGTCGCTCCTGGCCTTCACACCACCTGTGGAAGCTCAGACGGCAGCCGCGGCCAGGAGTATCTTTCACTGGCTTAGGCAGCAGCAAGTCTGTCTGGAGGGGGCTGATATTGGTTATGCTCTGATGACTTCTAGACTGAATGACTGTAATGACCTTTATGGGTGACCCTGTTCAAAGCCACAGCCCAGAAGCTTCAGCGGGTGCAGCATCCACCCACTCGTGTGACGCCATTACTGTGTCAGCTACCCCTGCGTTGCTAAGTCTAATTTAAAATACTGGTTTTAATCCTTAAAGCCGTGAACACATTGGCCCCACACATTAACTACACCAGCCTGACCACATCCTGCAGTCATCAGCAGATGTCCTTTCCCCCTTCTGGCTGCCAAGGGTGGTTAGGTTGTTACCTATGGGGCACTGCTACTCCTGAGGTGGCCCTGTGCCCGTTTCCATCAGGGGTTTGCCAAGCTCTTTCTTTGCAGTTCTTCAGGAATGCTTTTAAGACCCATCTGTTGCTTTGAGTACATGTTAGTCTTTTACATTTTACTTTCATCTTGCATTGTACTTTTTTTTAAAAAAAACCATGCATGCTGCTTTCAAAGGATTCCACTTTTAAATGGTGCATAAATAGAACTTTAAATGAATAAATAAATAAAAATCCCCCCCACAAAAAAAGAGGATATAGATTTGTGTAACATCGCATATGCTGATTTATAGGCATGGATGATAATTCAGAAATAATGATCACCACTGAAAGAGAAATGAAGCACATTTCAGCACAGAGGGAAGGGTTCTGCCAGGTGACCTGATGCACACTCGGGTTGCTGTCCAGGTGCCTACAGAGCCCCCCCCCCCTTCTCTTCCTCTGAGGGCTTCTCTCCAGGCATATTAAAAAGTCCTTTAAATAGACAGTGCTTGACTGGACAACCCTTTAAATAGGCAATGCCTTTAAAGAGATGGCTGTACTCTATTCCTTTTGGTGGAGAACCACCCTTTCCCCATGAATTTAAGGGGCATCAGCTGACAGAGGAAGCATCGGCCCTTAAGAGAGAAATTTCCCGAGGAAGATTACTGCACTGTAAATTATGAGACATTGACTGCAATTTCCTCTGGGTACAGAAAAAGACACGAATAATGCAACTCTCCGCAGGCCCACCCGCTTTTGAGTGTTAAGCCCATCACAGCTTTGCTTCCTTAGAGAACAAGAACTGACGTGAAGGAAGAAGATTACCTGGACGGAACTGCTTCACCACAACAAAGCACCGCCGAGAAATATTGAAGATCAGAATGGCCACGCTGAGGGAGAAGACAAAACAAAACAAAGCCCAGATCAATGCACATGTTAGCAAACAAAGAGCCGTGTTGGGGAGTCCCGGGTTTTAATGGCTTTTGGGCTAGGCTTGAGAAGGCAGGATGAATCAGGGACAGAGGAACTGTCGGGCGCAGCACCTGTGCCCCCACAGCTTTTATCGTCTCCACCAATTCTGTGGGGCGAGAGGTGGAGCCTGCCAATTCTACTGCACAAGTAGGATCTGCTTGTGCCACGGAGCTTTAATGCTTCCTAGAGGAAGCCCTGAAACAGGTAGAAATGCTTCCTTTGGCACAGGACAGTGGATGGAACTCCCCTGTGTGAGCTGCTCTGACCGTCTCCTCTGCAGAAATGAACACTTCCACTTGTCTGGGGTTGTCCCCAGAGAAACTGCATCTCTGCTCCACGAGTGGTAGGCAGCGTTTGGGGAAGGGAATTGGGGGGCACAGCAGGATGGTGGGGGGATAGCCTCCTGGGTATCACCCATAGTTATTAATAATAGCTGTATGAATGAGCAAGCTATTTTTGAAAAAAAATGCAGGTATTCAAGACCACCTGCTTTTGGAGCACATGTCAGGAGTCTGTTCAGTTGAAAGCTTGTCTACTTGCACATTCAAAAAGGACTGTCTGTGTTTACACAGCCAGGTCTTCAAACAAGTACCAACTACTTGAAAGTGGTTGTGTAAACACATGTGATCCTCAGATTATGTGATTATCAAATTATGTGGCACTAAAATCATCAGACCACAGAGCCTGGTCCAGTATTTGAGGCAGCCAGCAAGGTAATTAGAATGATCGCAAGTTGGAACAGTAAGAAGTTGCAATGGGATGTCAACCGCATAGCCATGCCCTCTCCCCGGATACTCCATTCCCTCTCCCTGTCCAGCCACACCAAACCCATGAATGTGAAGTCAGGTGGGCATTTGGAGCCATGGCCGCCCTTGCTTATTTCTATGAGGCTTCTCTGGAGTACCTGCACTCTCTCTGGGAATCTGAAGGGCAACTTTGATCAGAATGCACAAAAGATTTCGGCAGTCAGTTTGCGCCGGATACGGCAAAGACGCTGAGAAAATTCTTGGGGACAAGAATGTGTAAATAATCACTGACCGATTTTAAATCATCCACCAACATCATCTTATGAATTAATATTTATACTATGCCAACAATTACTAGCAGTATATTTTGAAGCTATAAACAGCCATCTGAACTCTGACACCCTCCAGATACTTTGGACTCTCATGGGCCCCAGCCAGCATGGCCTGTGGGAGGGGTGCAGGTGTTCTGGCCTGTTGGGGTACCCTGATCCAGCCTGTGTTCCTCTAGGAAGCAGGGCTGGGGCAGCAAGGTCACCCCCTCCGCTGTCATCTGCCCATGGACGGCTTGATGGGAGGCAATCCACCACCCAGTCACCATCCCAAAACACTTCCGCTCATCTGGCTTGTGGTCATGGATGATGGGAGCCATGGTCCAAAACATCTGGAGGGGACCAGGTTGAGAAAGGCCGTTATAAACCACTGAGAAGAGCATCTTCTCCATCTACCAGCTGACTCAGACACTCCTTAAACATCAGTAATCACAGGAAACCCTTCATCAATAGGTCTGTGCCGTTACACACGTGCTCTAAGATCTGGAATCTACTGTGCATGACACAAACTATGTGGCATGTGGCAAATGTGGACACGAAGCAAGTTGCTGCAAGACAAACTTTGAGTTCCCTTTGATAATGGCCAGTCCACACCCAAGGCTTTACTCAGAAGTATGTTCTCCTGAGTTCAATCCAACTTCCTCTTATGTACTCAAAGGGTGCAGTTATAAGCATTTGGAGAGGTGGCTTCCCAAACCTCATGTCCCTCAGGGATGTGTCAGGAATCTGTTTTGGGGGAGGGAATCTCCTGGGCTTGACTCCCTGGAGCCTCCTCCGCCTCGACGCAGCCGTGATCTGAGTCCCTGCTGAGCACTCCCGGTGCTTGCAAGGCACTCGCCAGGAGCAGGGCCATGCACGAACATGGTCTTTGGGATGCAAGTGTACTGAGAACATTAAAAGGGGCAGTTTGGTGGCTGCTCCCATGCTTTACAACTCTGACAAAGCTAGCAACTCCTTTGATGTAATTAAACAATAAATTCACCAACTGCAAATGTTCTGTTCAGTATAAAAAAAGTGCATCCACATGAAAGACAGAATAGCATCCATCTGATTAAAAACCCAATTCAGCCATACATCAGCTTAGGTGCCAAAAGCTGGTCCAAACACAAAGTCTTCATCACTTTATTTTGATAAGCCAGAAGTATATATGGCTTCTTATCTTCTGGCCAAAATTCCCCCACCAGAAAAAAGAGAAGAAATTTCCTGCATTCTTTTAATATAGGCTTTATCCTGTTTTCTTTTTGTTTTTCAGCCAGTGTTAATGCCAACATCCTGACAAACACATTTGTTAATTGATATGTAAGATTTCCATGATAGCTTGTTGACTACTTAATACTGAGTTTGTTATCTCGCCCCATCCCAAAGCCTCGGGAATCTGTACAGATGGCTGAATGGCTATAGCTGAAAACCAGTGCAGATAAAGAATATAAAATGCAGTCAGAATTCTAGTGTAGCCGCTTGCCTTTCATAAGGGTGCCCTCACAGGTCTGTGAATGGTGAGGGGTCATAAGATGTCAGCTGGAGAATATATAGTGCTTATTATTCCCATCCTCATCCTCATTATCACTACACTGGATTTACAGCCTGCCTTTTCTCCTCTTGCAAGGAATTCAACATAGCTTACATAGCCCCATTTCATCCTCACAACAACAACCCTGTGAGGAAGGTTAGGCTGAGAGTCTGTGACTGGCCCAAAGCCACCCAGTGACCTTCATGGCCAAGTGGGGACGAGAACCTGGATCTTCTGGGTCCCCAGTCCAGCACTCAAACCACCACACCACACTGGCTCTCTGTTTGAAGGAGCAGCCTCTTAACACACAAAATATTCAGGCTTCTGTATCATCACATTTCAATTACTTTATTTCCCCCACATTTACTGCAGTACCTCTTAACTTCCCTATACCTATTCTGGTTAATCCCCTAGCCTCGCCCCACCACTTCCTCAATCACCATAACATAGGACATTGACCAAGTGGGAGGAAGTGCTCTAGCCCAAAGGCCTGACCAAATGGGAATCCGGGCTCTGATAAGCATGGCAAACTCCGTCCACAGAAGAACCACTTAAAGACCCAGATTGAATATGGTCTCAATGCATACGGGTGCAAACTTCCTGCTATTAGTTGGGATCCAGGGCAAAAGGACCTGGAGCTTTCTATCCTCCTGGTTGGGCAGTATAGAGCCCAACAAGGAGAACAGGTAACTGTGTACACCGTGCCTCTCTGCACAGCCCCTCTTCCTCAGCATGGCTCCTGAAAAGGAAGTAGGCAAAGGAAGAAAAAATGTGCAGGCAGGAGCTGGGCTGGGGGATAAAAAATCCCAGCATTATTTTGAACCATCCAGAGAGCTTCAGCCACTGGGTGGTATTGAAATGAAAATGAGCAACAACGACAAAGAGGGGTCACCAATGGTGAAGGTTAGCCTTCCCCGTAACTGTATCTCTAATAAGGTGGCCATGTGTCCTACTTCGCAGAGAAAAGTCCTCAATCTGGAGTGCTGTCAGAAGACCATCTTCTACTCGAAGGCACCATTGTATTTAAAGCTTTATGAATCAGGTCCAGTTTATTGATGAATGAGTATGATTTGAGGATTAAGACTATGGGAAGGAGAGCAGAGGTCCTGAAGTTGACCATCCACAGTGGACCATCCAGGGACAGCTGACTGGGCAGGTGTACAAAGCACTCGCTCCTTCCCAGTTTGCATGCGTGTTTGTAAGTGAGCAGAGTGATGGCTGAAGCATTAGACTGGGGGCCTGGGAGATCTGAGTTCTAGTTCCAATACAGCCATGAAGCTCACAGGGTGATTTTGGTCCAGTCAGTCTCTCTCAGCTTATCCTACCTCACAGGGTTATTGGTGCGAGGATAAAAATGGGGTAGATAAGAACTATGGAAGCTGCCCTGGGTTTCTCAAAAGACAAAAAAGGGCAGGGTATAAATGCAGTGTAATAGTGATAGTAAAAACAAATCTGCATACTCATGGTGATACAGTCTGAGTTGCATAAATGGCCATCCAACTTTACGCCACACAGGTGAATGGATGCAAGGGATGCATATGAAGATGTATTCGGTATAGAATGTGATGGAGAAATTAGGACAACAGCCCCTCTGTACTTGATCTGAAATGGAAGGAGAGGAGAGGAGAGGAGAGGAGCAAGGAAAGGCGTTCCACTCCACTTATGAAGTATGTTCTCTTTCAGAATGTTGCGTGAATACCTTTTAAAGTACAGGTTTAAAAGAGGAACTCATTCAAAGGGAATAATGTTGGTAACTGTCTAATTGCTGCAGACTTCGACTGAATGTCTATACAGCCAAGACTTTCAGAACTTGATGCTCGAAAAAGCACTTTCAAAGACAGCCACATCCGGAACATCTCCAGCTATTAAGCTCAGGAGTGCATCTGGGGATTCTGCCTAGCATAGACAGCAGCAAATTTAGTTTAGGTTAGATAAGAAAGTTAAGTACTGTGTATATGTCAATTATCTGAAAGTGTATTTTATGCAAGAAAAAGAAAGGTGGAAGCAGGCGTGGGGAATGACACTTCTCTTCATGGCTTCAACATTTCCCCAAATTCTACATCTGTCATCCTTTGGTGGGACAATGTGCTTCTCTTCAACATGGCAATTAGGATTGGACACTCTGCTAGTAAAAAAGGTTTGAATCATCCTATGTATCCTTATTCAGATATACATCCTATAGAATTAAAGAGGATTTACTCACAAGTAAGTGTGCTTAGGCTTACAACCAAAAAAGGCTCATGAAATTAGAATGTGATATTCCAACAAAGAGAGGGAACACAAAATAGGGATTACTTGTAAATGAAGTAACGTGTGTCAACTTATTGAAGAAT